CAACTTTCCCCTGCCTCCCGTCCTTACACACAGGTGTTATCCTATATCAGCTGGTGGTAAAAGGGTGTTTTGAACCCACATCACACAGCTGCCTCTTCTCTAACATGACAACTTTCCCCTGCCTCCCCCCTTACACACAGGTGTTATCTTATATCAGCTGGTGGTAAAAGGGTGTTTTGAACCAACATCACACAGCTCTCTGCACTCTTCTCAAACATGACAACATTCCTCTGCCTCCCGTCCTTACACACAGGTGTTATCCTATATCAGCTGGTGGTAAAAGGGTGTTGTGAACCCACATCACACAGCTGCACTCTTCTCTAACATGACAACTTTCCCTGCCTCCCCCCTTACACACAGGTGTTATCTTATATCAGCTGGTGGTAAAAGGGTGTTTTGAACCAACATCACACAGCTCTCTGCTTTCTTCTCAAACATGACAACATTCCCCTGCCTCCAGTCCTTACACACAGGTGTTATCTTATATCAGCTGGTGGTAAAAGGGTGTTGTGAACCCACGTCACACAGCTCTCTCCACTCTTCTCAAACATGACAACCTTCCCCTGCCTCCCCCCCCCCCTTACACACAGGTGTTATCTTATATCAGCTGGTGGTAAAAGGGTGTTTTGAACCACCATCACACAGCTCTCTGCACTTTTCTCAAACATGACAACCTTCCCCTGCCTCCCCCCCCCCTTACACACAGGTGTTATCTTATATCAGCTGGTGGTAAAAGGGTGTTTTTGAACCACCATCACACAGCTCTCTGCACTCTTCTCAAACATGACAACCTTCCCCTGCCTCCCCCCCCCCCCCTTACACACAGGTGTTATCTTATATCAGCTGGTGGTAAAAGGGTGTTGTGAACCCACGTCACACAGCTCTCTCCACTCTTCTCAAACATGACAACCCCCCCCTCCTACACACAGATGTAATCATATTTTAGCTGGTGGTAAAAGGGTGTTGTGAACCCACATCACACAGCTGTACTCTTCTCTAACATGACAACCTCCTCCTGCCTCCCCCTACACACATGTGTATGGTAAAAGGTTGTTGTGAACCAATATCACACAGCTCTCTGCACTCTACTCAAACATGACAACCTCCCCCTACACACAGGTCTAATCATATATCAGCTGGTGGTAAAAGGGTGTTGTGAACCCACATCACACAGCTCTCTGCACTCTTCTCAAGCATGACAACCTTCCCCTGCCTCCCCCCTTACACATAGGTGTAATCATATATCAGCTGGTGGTAAAAGGGTGTTGTGAACCCACATCACACAGCTCTCTGCACTCTTCTCAAAATTACAACCTACTCCTGCCCCCCTACACACATGTGTATGGTAAAGGGTGTTGTGAACTCACATCAAACAGCTCTCTGCACTCTTCTCAAACATGACAACCCCCCACCCTCCCCCCTATACACAGGTGTAATCATATATCAGCTGGTGGTAAAAGGGTGTTTTGAACCCACATCACACAGCTCTCTGCACTCTTCTCAAACATGACAACTTTCCCCTGCCTCCCCCCCCCCCACACATAGGTGTAATCTTATATCAGCTGGTGGTAAAAGGGTGTTGTGAACCCACGTCACACAGCTCTCTCAACTCTTCTCAAACATTACAACCCCCCCCCCCTCCTACACACAGATGTAATCATATTTTAGCTTGTGGTAAAAGGTTGTTGTAAACCCCTATCATACAGCTCTCTGCACTCTTCTCAAACATGATAACCTCCCCCTACCCTCTTCCCCCCTATAGACAGGTGTTATCATATATCAGCTGGTGATAAAAGGGTGTTGTGAACCCACATCACACAGCTCTCTGAAATCTTCTCAAACATGACAACCTCCCCCTGCCTCCCACCCTACACACAGGTGTAATCATATATCAGCTGGTGATAAAAGGGTGTTGTGCACCCTAATCACACAGCTCTCTGCACTCTTCTCAAACATGACAACCCCCCCCCCCCCTCCCTCCTACCTACAGATGTAATCATATTTCAGCTGGTGGTAAAAGGGTGTTGTGAACCTACATCACACAGCTCTCTCCACTCTTCTCAAACATGACAACCTCCCCCCCCCCCCCCCCCTCCCTCCTACACACAGATGTTATTATATTTGAGCTGGTGGTAAAAGGGTGTTGTGAACCCACATCACACAGCTCTCTGCACTCTTCTCAAACATGACAACATTCCTCTGCCTCCCGTCCTTACACACAGGTGTTATCTTATATCAGCTGGTGGTAAAAGGGTGTTGTGAACCCACATCACACAGCTGCACTCTTCTCTAACATGACAACTTTCCCCTGCCTCCCCCCCTTACACACAGGTGTTATCTTATATCAGCTGGTGGTAAAAGGGTGTTTTGACCCACATCACACAGCTCTCTGCACTCTTGTCAAACATGACAACCCCCCCCCCCTCCCTCCTACACACAGGTGTAATCATATTTCAGCTGGTGGTAAAAGGGTGTTGTGAACCTACATCACACAGCTCTCTCCACTCTGCTCAAACATGACAACCCCCCCCCCCCCCTCTCCCTCCTACATACAGATGTAATCATATTTCAGCTGGTGGTAAAAGGGTGTTGTGAACCCACATCACACAGCTCTCTGCACTCTTCTCAAACATTACAACCTACTCCTGCCCCCCTACACACATGTGTATGGTAAAAGGGTGTTGTGAACTCACATCAAACATCTCTCTCCACTCTTCTCAAACATGACAACCTCCCCCCCCCCCCCCCCCCTCCTACACACAGATGTAATCATATTTCAGCTGGTGGTAAAAGGGTGTTGTGAACCCACATCACACAGCTCTCTGCACTCTTCTCAAACATGACAACCCCCCCCCCCTCCCTCCTACACACAGATGTAATCATATATCAGCTGGTGGTAAAAGGGTGTTGTGCACCCTAATCACAAAGCTCTGCACTCTTCTCAAACATGACAATCTCACCCTGCCCCCTCCCCCCTACACACAGGTGTAATCATATATCAGCTGGTGGTAAAAGGGTGTTGTGAACCTACATTACACAGCTCTCTCCACTCTTCTCAAACATGACAACCTCCCCCTGCCTCCCCCCCCCCCCCTACACACAGGTGTAATCATATATTAGCTGGTGGTAAAAGGGTGTTGTGAACCTACATTACACAGCTCTCTCCACTCTTCTCAAACATGACAACCTCCCCCTGCCTCCCCCCCCCCCTTCACACAGGTGTAATCATATATTAGCTGGTGGTAAAAGGGTGTTGTGAACCCACATCACACAGCTCTCTCCACTCTTCTCAAACATTACAACCTCCTCCTGCCCCCCCCCTACACACATGTTTATGGTAAAAGGGTGTTGTGAACCCATATCACACAGCTCTCTGCACTCTTCTCAAACATGACAATATCACCCTGCCCCCCTCCCCCCCTACACACAGGTGTAATCATATATCAGCTGGTGATAAAAGGGTGTTGTGAACCTACATCACACAGCTTTCTGCACTCTTCTCAAACATGACAACCTTCCCCTGCCTCCCCCCCCCCGCCCCTACACACAGGTGTAATCTTATATCAGCTGGTGGTAAAAGGGTGTTGTGAACCCACATCACACAGCTCTCTCCACTCTTCTCAAACATGACAACCTTCCCCTGCCTCCCCCCCCCTACACACAGGTGTAATCTTATTTCAGCTGGTGGTAAAATGGTGTTGTGAACCCACATCACACAGCTCTCTCCACTCTTCTCAAACATGACAACCTCCCCCTGCCTCCCCCCTATATTCAGATGTAATCTTATAACAGCTGGTGGTAAAAGAGTGTACCTATACTCACATCACACAGCTCTCTACACAAGAATTGGCCTTTTACCCTATAGAAGACGGAACACTGGGGGCAGCATCATCCAAAAGTTAAAGGTTTGGTGCTTTTATTAAGATACACCTCTATACAAAATTTGAAACAAATCCCTCCGGAATGATGCAGTTAGACCGCACACTAGAGTGCACAGAAGACATCTTTCAAAATATGACCTTTGACCTTATAAAAGAGGGAACACTGGAGGCAGCATCACCAAAATTTGGAGGCTTGTAGATTATACCGAGATACACCTTTGTTCAAAATTTGAACAATATCTCTTGAAAAATGTGGTCTACAGAGCACACACAACTCAACCATCCACAAAAATATGGCTTTTTACTCTATAGAAGGCGGAACACTGAGGGCAGTATCACCAAAAGTTATAGGTGTTGAGATTATACCACGATACACCTCAATACAAAATTTTTTTTAAATCCGTCAAGGAATATGGCAGTTAGAGCGCACACAAGAATATGACGCGGCGGCGGCGAAACGCTGCTGAATCCAAAGTACCCCACCGGCATACTGCCGGAGGATACAATAAAGAACAAAGAATGGAAGCTTTTATATGACACTTTACAATTAATTAGTGACAAACATTCATAGAGGTAGTGACACAGTGAAGGTTAAAGAAATGATGATTCTCTTCGTCATTTGAAATATAGAGTCTGTAAGTTCAGAGATGGCAAGTCAGGCATTCTGGCCCTACATTCTCTTGGGCAGTAAGGGCAGGCAACAGAGTCGAATAGGCCTTGCACATATTTCACATTATATCCTATGTCTATAAATGAAACACAGTACCAGATAATTGGAGCAGTTACAATTGAAATATATCAAAACTTGTACAAGAAATCCCCCATGTTGGTATGAAAATGACTTTAAACTATTTCAACAACAAAAATATAAATATTCGGGCAGCAAACTAATAAATATATACCAATAATCTCTAGTGAAATGACAGATAATGTGATATTTAGCATTCAGTCTATGATTTCTGAATCTTGATATCAAGTTCAGATTACTATTGGGGGTGACTCGGATTTGGGATCGATTCCTCACATTATTACAGATCAATTTCTCACAATATCTTCATATATAATATAACCTTTGGAAGAAACTAGAAGTTAATGATGAAATGGAGACATGTATCTTACCTATGATGCGTACCATACATGATATCAAGTTTAGCTTGACATAGTTTGATGTTTGGGAAGGAATGTGCTGCTTCATGAAGTGCTATCTTTCCTTCTCTCTGCTCTCCATGTATAAGATGTAGGGGTTTGTCCCTGTATCAGAGATCAAAGTATTTGCAAGAAAACTGAATTCAACAAATAACAATACATCAACACAATAGTCATAACTCATCTTATTATCATTTACTTCAGGTCAAAATTTAGATTTCTCATAACTCAATATTTTTTAAAGTTTCTTCTCTACGAAACAATCTACCTCCTGCACTGAAAATCAGACTTTCTCTTAAAGGTAAAGACCAGAATTGGAAACGCACCAATTTCAAACAAGGGAAACGCTCTCGGCGGTCTCGCCTGCATAACGCAATTCAATATGATAAACCAGAACGTCAATGACGTAGCGCTCATCCGCATCTCGCAACAACAAATATCGTAAATTTTATGTGGTACACTTTTGAACTGGTCAAAAACTAAAAATTTGATGCCCTGGAAGGGACATAATTTCATTTAATTTGCATAAAGTACCATAAATAATCAATGGAGCAAAATCTCACAATTCTGTGTAGAAGTTTAGTGTTCCTAATTTAGCTCTACCAGATAAGGCAAACCAAATCAAAATCGGTCAAGAAATGAGGGAAAAGAAGCAATTTTTGTTATTTTTGGAATAAATTTGCATAAATTACCACAATTAATTAATGGAGAACAATTTCAAAATTCTGTGTAGAAGTTTAGTGTACCAAAGTTAACTCTACAATATAAAGGAAACAAAATCAAAATCGGTCGAGAAATGAAGAAGAAGAAGAAGCCTTTTTGTGATTTCGAATAAATTTGCATAAATTAGCACAGAAAATGAATTTCACTATTCTGTGTAGAAATTTTAAATCCCCCTCATAGCCCTATCATATGAAACAATCATAATCAAAATCGGTTGAAAAAGTAACAAAGAAGAAGCATTTAAAAAAATCTTCATGTTGATGCCACAACAAAGTCTAAAATTGTTGATCTTAAATGACCTTTGACCTTAACTTAGTGAACTGAAATTCTACTCTCATGATTGGGGAGACTTGATAACCTATAGTCCAAGTTTCATTGACTAAGAACTTATACTTTCAAAATTATATCAAAAATTCAAAAACTTAACCTTAGGTTAAGTTTTCGATGATGATGCTACAACAAAGTCAAAGTCTGTTGACCTGTAATGACCTTCAACCTTGACTTTGTGATCTGAAATTCTTCTCACGTGATTGGGAATACTTGATTACCCTAAAGTCAAAGTGTCATTGACAAAGAACTTATGCTTTAAAAATTATATCAAAAATTGAAAAACTTAACCTTAGGTTAAATGGTAAGGTTCGGAGTGGTTAAGAATTTTTTGAGATAAAAAGTGAAAAAAATTCAATAGCATAGTTTCCTCACAATTAATTTCCCTTAATGTCATGGGATGGAGTATAACCCCCGTTGTGCTTCTGTAGGGGCATAGGGACAAAATTTGTAAATATTTGAAAAACCCCACTTTTTGGACAAAATGGTAAGGTCCGGAGTGGTTAAGAATTTTTTGAGATAAAAAGTGAAAATAATTCAATAGCATAGTTTCTTCACAATTAATGTCCCTATATGTTATGAGATGGAGTATGACCCCCGTTGTGCTTCTGTAGGGGCATAGGGACAAATCAAGTAAATATTTGAAAAACCCGACTTTTTGAACAAAATGGTAAGGTCCGGAGTGGTTAAGCATTTTTTGAGATAAAAAGTGAAAATAATTCAATATCATAGTTTCCTCACAATTAATGTCCCTATTTGTCATGAGATGGAGTATGACCCCCTTTGTGCTTCTGTAAGGGGCATAGGGACAAAATTTGTAAATATTTGAAAAACCCCACTTTTTGGACAAAATGGTAAGGTTCGGAGTGGTTAAGCATTTTTTGAGATAAAAAGTGAAAATAATTCAATAGCATAGTTTCCTCACAATTAATTTCCCTTAATGTCATGGGATGGAGTATGACCCCCGTTGTGCTTCTGTAGGGGCATAGGGACAAAATTTGTAAATATTTGAAAAACCCCACTTTTTGGACAAAATGGTAAGGTCCGGAGTGGTTAAGCATTTTTTGAGATAAAAAGTGAAAATAATTCAATAGCATAGTTTCTTCACAATTAATGTCACTATATGTTATGAGATGGAGTATGACCCCCGTTGTGCTTCTGTAGGGGCATAGGGACAAATCTAGTAAATATTTGAAAAACCCGACTTTTTGAACAAAATGGTAAGGTCCGGAGTGGTTAAGAATTTTTGAGATAAAAAGTGAAAAAAATTCAATATCATAGTTTCCTCACAATTAATTTCTCTTAATGTCATGGGATGGAGTATGACCCCCGTTGTGCTTATGTAGGGGCATAGGGACAAAATTTGTAAATATTTGAAAAACCCCACTTTTTGGAAAAAATGGTAAGATCCGGAGTGGTTAAGAATTTTTTGAGATAAAAAGTGAAAAAAATTCAATATCATAGTTTCCTCACAATTAATGTCCCTATATGTCATGAGATGGAGTATGACCCCCGTTGAGCTTTTGTAGGGACATAGGGACAAATCTTGTAAATATTTGAAAAACCCCACTTTTTGGACAAAATGGTAAGGTCCGGAGTGGTTAAGCATTTTTTGAGATAAAAAGTGAAAATAATTCAATAGCATAGTTTCCTCACAATTAATTTCCCTTAATGTCATGGGATGGAGTATGATCCCCGTTGTGCTTTTGTAGGGACATAGGGACAAAATTTGTAAATATTTGAAAAACCCCACTTTTTGGACAAAATGGTAAGGTCCGGAGTGGTTAAGCATTTTTTGAGATAAAAAGTGAAAAAAATTCAATAGCATAGTTTCCTCACAATTAATTTCCCTTAATATCATGGGATGAAGTATGACCCCCGTTGTGCTTCTGTAGGGGCATAGGGACAAAATTTGTAAATATTTGAAAAACCCCACTTTTTGGACAAAATGGTAAGGTCCGGAGTGGTTAAGCATTTTTTGAGATAAAAAGTGAAAATAATTCAATAGCATAGTTTCCTCACAATTAATTTCCCTTAATGTCATGGGATGGAGTATGACCCCCGTTGTGCTTATGTAGGGGCATAGGGACAAAATTTGTAAATATTTGAAAAACCCCACTTTTTGGAAAAAATGGTAAGATCCGGAGTGGTTAAGAATTTTTTGAGATAAAAAGTGAAAAAAATTCAATATCATAGTTTCCTCACAATTAATGTCCCTATATGTCATGAGATGGTGTATGACCCCCGTTGAGCTTTTGTAGGGACATAGGGACAAATCTTGTAAATATTTGAAAAACCCCACTTTTTGGACAAAATGGTAAGGTCCGGAGTGGTTAAGCATTTTTTGAGATAAAAAGTGAAAATAATTCAATAGCATAGTTTCCTCACAATTAATTTCCCTTAATGTCATGGGATGGAGTATGACCCCCGTTGTGCTTTTGTAGGGGCATAGGGACAAAATTTGTAAATATTTGAAAAACCCCACTTTTTGAACAAATTGGTAAGGTACGGAGTGGTTAAGCATTTTTTGAGATAAAAAGTGAAAATAATTCAATAGCATAGTTTCTTCACAATTAATGTCCCTATATGTCATGAGATGGAGTATGACCCCCGTTGTGCTTTTGTAGGGACATAACGACAAAACTTGTAAATATTTGAACAACCCCACTTTTTGGACAAAATGGTAAGGTCCGGAGTGGTTAAGCATTTTTTGAGATAAAAAGTGAAAAAAATTCAATAGCATAGTTTCCTCACAATTAATGTCCCTATATGTCATGAGATGGAGTATGACCCCCGTTGAGCTTTTGTAGGGACATAGGGACAAATCTTGTAAATATTTGAAAAACCCCACTTTTTGGACAAAATGGTAAGGTCCGGAGTGGTTAAGCATTTTTTGAGATAAAAAGTGAAAAAAATTCAATAGCATAGTTTCCTCACAATTAATTTCCCTTAATATCATGGGATGAAGTATGACCCCCGTTGTGCTTCTGTAGGGGCATAGGGACAAAATTTGTAAATATTTGAAAAACCCCACTTTTTGGACAAAATGGTAAGGTCCGGAGTGGTTAAGCATTTTTTGAGATAAAAAGTGAAAAAAATTCAATAGCATAGTTTCCTCACAATTAATTTCCCTTAATGTCATGGGATGGAGTATGATCCCCGTTGTGCTTTTGTAGGGACATAGGGACAAAATTTGTAAATATTTGAAAAACCCCACTTTTTGGACAAAATGGTAAGGTCCGGAGTGGTTAAGCATTTTTTGAGATAAAAAGTGAAAAAAATTCAATAGCATAGTTTCCTCACAATTAATTTCCCTTAATATCATGGGATGAAGTATGACCCCCGTTGTGCTTCTGTAGGGGCATAGGGACAAAATTTGTAAATATTTGAAAAACCCCACTTTTTGGACAAAATGGTAAGGTCCGGAGTGGTTAAGCATTTTTTGAGATAAAAAGTGAAAATAATTCAATAGCATAGTTTCCTCACAATTAATTTCCCTTAATGTCATGGGATGGAGTATGACCCCCGTTGTGCTTCTGTAGGGGCATAGGGACAAAATTTGTAAATATTTGAAAAACCCCACTTTTTGGAAAAAATGGTAAGATCCGGAGTGGTTAAGAATTTTTTGAGATAAAAAGTGAAAAAAATTCAATATCATAGTTTCCTCACAATTAATGTCCCTATATGTCATGAGATGGTGTATGACCCCCGTTGAGCTTTTGTAGGGACATAGGGACAAATCTTGTAAATATTTGAAAAACCCCACTTTTTGGACAAAATGGTAAGGTCCGGAGTGGTTAAGAATTTTTTGAGATAAAAAGTGAAAATAATTCAATAGCATAGTTTCCTCACAATTAATTTCCCTTAATGTCATGGGATGGAGTATGACCCCCGTTGTGCTTTTGTAGGGGCATAGGGACAAAATTTGTAAATATTTGAAAAACCCCACTTTTTGAACAAATTGGTAAGGTACGGAGTGGTTAAGCATTTTTTGAGATAAAAAGTGAAAATAATTCAATAGCATAGTTTCTTCACAATTAATGTCCCTATATGTCATGAGATGGAGTATGACCCCCGTTGTGCTTTTGTAGGGACATAACGACAAAACTTGTAAATATTTGAAAAACCCCACTTTTTGGACAAAATGGTAAGGTCCGGAGTGGTTAAGCATTTTTTGAGATAAAAAGTGAAAAAAATTCAATAGCATAGTTTCCTCACAATTAATTTCCCTTAATGTCATGAG